GCAACCTCAAACTCCTGGGCTCAAGCGATCCTCCTGCCTCAGCCTCCTGAGTAGCTGGGACTACAGACATGCACTACCATGCCCGGCTAATTTTTTCTATATATATATTTTAAGTTGTCCAGATAATTTCTTTCTATTTTTAGTAGAGACGGGGTCTCACTCTTGCTCAGGCTGGTCTCCCAACTCCTGACCTTGAGCAATCCACCCACCTTGGCCTCCCAGAGTGCTGGGATTACAGGCGTGAGCCACCGCTCCCGGCTAGTTGCATCTTTTTAAGGACAGAAGTTTTCCAGTTGGAGATAGCCCCATTTGTGTATTTTTGCTTTTCTGGTTATGCTTTTGGTGTTATCTCCAAGAAATCATTGCCAAATGTAATGTTCTGACATTTCCTTCTGTTCCTAGTCTGTCTTTCCCTATGTCAGTGTGGTGTATTACACTGACTGACTTTCTTCTCCTGAACCACCCTTGTTTTCCTAGTGTCTATCACACTTGATCATGGTCTATAATTCTTTTAACGTGCTGTACAATTTGGTCTCCTAGTATTTTTCTGAAGACTTTTTCTTTTTTTTTTTAGAGACATAGTCTGTTCTGTGGCCCAGGCTGGAGTACAGTGGCTTGATCTTAGCTTACCGTAATCTTGAATTTCTGGGCCTAGTGATCCTTCCGCCTCATCCTCCTAAGTAGCTAGGACTACAGGTTCACGCCGCCACACCCAGCTATTTTTAAAATTTTTTGTTGAGATGGGGTCTGGCTATGTAGCCCAGGCTGTTCTCAAACTCCTGAGCTGAAGAGATCCTTCCTCCTCGGCCTCCCAAAGTGCTGGGAGTACAGGCACGAACCACTACACTCAACCTGTTGAGGACTTTTTCATCAGTATTCGTCAGGAACATTGTATAGTTTTGTTTTCATGTAATATGTTTGCCTGGGTTGTATCAGAGTCATGGTGGTGTCATAGAATGAAATGTGTTTGTGTTCTCTTCCGTTATTTGGCAATGAGAAGGATTGGTGTTAATTTTTCATTAAAAGTTTGATAGAATTATGCAGTGATTATGAATTTTGCATCTGTATCTAGTCTCTTGCATAGGAGATTTTGATTAATCTCCTTACTACTATAGGAGTGTGTAGATTTTTCTTTTTGACTCAGGAGGTTTGTGTGTTTCTACAGATTGATCAATTTCTTCTAGCTCATCTAACTTGTTGGCATGTGCTTGACCATAGTTGTCTTTCACACTCTTTCTTCTTACTGTGACATGCAGGTGACGGGTGTGACGGTGTTCCCTAATTCCCTTAGGCTGTCTTCATTTTTCTTCATTCTGTTTTTTCTTTTGCTCCTTTTTTTGTTTGCTGTTTATTTCTTCTAGCTGGTCAAATCAGCTTTTGAGGCCCAGTAGTGTGTTTTTCAATTCAGTAATTATTATATTTTTCAGCTCAAGAATTTCTCTTCCGTTTCTTGTAGTTCTAGTTGTGTTGATAATCTCATTTTGTTCATATTACATTGAGTTTCTGATGTCCTGAAGTCCATGTGTGCTGTCTTCATTCATTTAGCGTCCTTGTGAGTCTTACTTTGAATTCTTTGCATGCTAATTCCAGAAAATCTTCATTTCTTTAGTGTCAGTTGGTGGTGATTTAATTTAGTCCTATGTGTGGGTTATGTTTCCTTTGCGTGTTGTATATGTCGTTGTCTTCTGTTGGGACTTGAGCATTTCACAGATCAGGCACTTATTTCCGGTTTTTGTTTCCCTTCATTCAGGGAGCACACGCTTCATGTAGCCCGACTAGAGATTCTGGGGACCTCTCAAGACTTTTTTGAGGATGTGTCCTCTCTAGGCTTTTGCTTATAATCTAACTGAACAGATTGTGCCATTTGAGCCATTTTCTACTCAGAAGCTCTCCTGTTGTCTGCCTCATACTCTGCAGCCTGGCTGGTGCTCTAGCAAACGGTGGTCTGGCTCTCCCCCTAGTGTCTCACCCGTGTTACTGCAGAGATTCGTTACGTTGATGCCCTTTATTTTCAATGGCTCCCATGCCCAGTGTGATTTTACTTTCAGTGCTTATATTCACCCAGGATAGAAATATGTCTCTCCAGTAGTCCCCTGAAAACCAGAGTGTTGCATGGATGTTCCCATTCTTTCCCTCCCCCTATGAGAAACCAGGAGTTGGGGGTTTCTTCAAAATTTTGCCACATGATGCCAGGGTATTGCCTCTGGCAATGTGTCTCAAGTGTTCCTATTAGGCATCCATTAGGGGTTCCAACCTCTTAAGTGATTTCTCAACTTCTCGCACAGACAGTTGATCTGTGTGTTGTTATCTGTGTGTGTCTCCGTGTCTGGGGTTTTCTATTTCTCTATCTTACTGATATCACCACATGAGTACAATTTTGTAATTTCTTTACATAAGCCTGGAAATATCTTTTAATTAGGTGCCATGATACATTTGCTAGTGGAAACGTCAGATGTACCATGTATGTGTCTGTTTAATGAGAGCTGCTAGAGAAAGAAGATGGTTTTCAATATCTTGGTAGTAGTTTTTATACTTAAACAGTATTGTTTTTCTTGGTTGCAGTCATGTCGTGTTAATTTTAAGAAATCTAGCTCTTTACTCTCTTCCCCACTTCCTTTTTTTTTCCCACTATTTTCCTCTTTATTGTTCCCTCCTGAGATAACCTGGGTAGTAGTGTTTGGCTGGAGCCCTGGCCAGCCCACTTTTCTCCATCTTAATTAAAAGAAAGGCATCCAGTGCTTACTGATGACCATGATATTTGGTGAGATATCCTTGCTTAACATTAGGGGTTTTTCCCCAAATTTATTTTTTGTTTATTTTTAACTAATATTTCAGGTACATAATGTTGTGATACATTTTTTTATAAATCTACGTCTTTTTTTTTTTTTTTTTTTTTTAATATACTGGGTTTCACTTTGTTGCCTAGACTCAAGTACACAGGCATGATCAGAGCTCACTGCAGCCTCCAACTCCTGGGCTTAAGCAATCCTCCTGCCTCAGCCTCCCAAGTAGCTGAGACTACAGGTGCTTATCACCACAGCTGGCTAATTTTTGATTTTTTGGTAGAGGCTGGTTCTCACTATGTTGCCTAGTGTGGGCTCGAACTCCTGGCCTTAAGCAGTCCTGCCACCTTGGCCTCCTAAAGTGCTGGGATTACACATGTGAGCCACTGCACTGGCCTTATCTAAATTTGTTAAAGTAATGTATGATACTGAAAATTTCCATTTCTCATGTTATGATTTTATTACAGGAAGAATCTATTATAATAAACTCCATTGGGCTTTTTGGTAATGCCTACGTGTCTAAATTTCACTGCATAAAATTGTATCTATGTTTTTGAATATGTGTATTTAATAGGCATTAGAATTCAAGTTCCTACATTTTTTTATGTTGTACCATTTTTTAATTTTATTTTTTAATTATTATTTCAGAATATTCCAGTGGTACAGGTGTTTTGGTTACATGGATTGCTTTTGTACAGCTTGAGTCAGTTATAAGTGTGTCCATCACTCAGAGAGTGCACGTTGTATCCATTAGGAGTGATTTCATCCATCCCCTTCTTCCCGCTTTCACCTGCTTGGTTTCCTTTGAGTTTTACTTCCATATGTGCACTTGAGTGCTGATCGGTTAGTTCCAATGTAACAGTGACTACGTGTGGTGTTTGTTTTTTCATTCTTGTGCTGTTTCACTTAGGAGAATGGTCTCTAGTTCGTCCAGGTTGTTACAAAGGCTATTAACTCCTCTTTTTTTTTAATAGTTCAGTAGTAAGTACTCTATGGTATACATACACCGCATTTTATTAATCGACTCGTGAATTAACATACACTGGGTTGATTCCAACTATTCGCAAATGTGAACTGTGCTGCAATAAACATCTGGGTGCAAGTGTCTTTTTTATAAAAGGACGTTTCTTCCTTTAAGTAAATACCCAGTAGGGGAACTGATGGATCAAATGATAGGTCTACTTTTAGTTTGTTGAGGTATCTCCATGTTAATTTCCGTAGAGGCTGTACTAGATTACAGTCCCAGCAACAGTGTATAAGTGTTCCTTTCTCTCTGCATCCACACCAACATCTATTGTTTTGGGACTTCTTTTTTTTTTTGAGATAGAATCTCGCTTTGTTGCCTGGGGTAGAGCGAGTGCTGTGGCATCAGCCTAGGTCACAGCAACCTCAAACTCCTGGGCTCAAGCAATCCTCCTTCCTCAGCCTCCCAAGTAGCTGGGACTACAGGCATGCGCCACCATGCCCGGCTAATTTTTTTCTATATATTTTTAGTTGTCCGATTAATTTTTTTCTATTTTTTTTATAGAGACAGGGTCTTGCTCTTGCTCAGGCTGGTCTCGAACTCCTGAGCTCAAACAATCCACCCGCCCCGGCCTCCCAGAGTGCTACGATTACAGGCGTGAGCCACCACGCCCGGCCTGTTTTGGGGCTTTTTGATGAAAGCCATTCTTACTGGAGTTAGGTGATATCTCATTGTGGTTTTGATTTGCATTTCCCTGATAATTAGAGACATTGAGAATTTTTTCATATGTGCATTAGTCATTAGTCTATTGTCTGTTTGAAAGCTCTGTTCAAGTCTTTTGCCCTCTTTTTAATGGGGTTGTTGATTTTTTTCTTGCTGGTTTGCTTGGGTTCTCTGTAATTCCTAGTGATTAGCCATTTATCAGATACATAGCATGGAAATATTTTTTCCCGTTCTGTAGGGTGTCTGTTCGCTCTGTCGATTGTTTCCTTGGCCGTGCAGAAGGTTTTTAATTTAATCAAGTCCCATTTATTAATTTTTATTCTTCCTGTGATTGCAGTTGGAGTCGTTTTCTAAATTCTTTGCCTACGCCAATATCTAGACGAGTTTTTCCAACATTTTCTTCTAGCATTCTTATACTTTCATGTCTTAGGTTTAAGTCTGTTATCCATCAGGAATTGATTTATGTGAGTGGTGAGAGGTAAGGATCCTGTTTCAATCTTCTACATGTGGCTGTCCAATTTTTCCAGGACCATTTATGGAATAGGGATTCTTTTCTCCAATATATTGTTATCTGCTTTGTCAAAGATCAGATGGCTATATGTAGAGGGATTTATATGTGAGTTCTCCGTTCTATTACTTTGATCTCTGTGGAGGGTTTTATATCTGGGTTCTCTGTTCTGTTACATTGATCTATGTCCCTATTTTGTGCCAATAGCACGCTGTTTTGGTTACCATACCCTTGTAGTGTAGCTTGAAGTCTGGTGAAGTGATGCCTCCTGATTTGTTCCTTTTGCTTAAGGTTGCTTTGGCTATCGAAGCTCTTTTCCAGTTCCATACGAAGCGTAGAAGTATTTTTTGTAGATCTGCGAAAAATGACCTTGGTATATTGATGGAGATTGCATTGAATGTATACATCACTTTGGGTAATATGGGCATTTTAACAATGTTGATTCTCCCAATCCATGAGCGTGATATGTTTTTCCATTTGTTTCCATCCTCTGCAATTTCCTTCCTTAGCAATTCATAATTCTCCTTGTAGAGATCTTTCACCTCCTTGGTTAGATATATTCCTGGGTATTTCATTTTCTTTGTTGCTGTCGTGAAAGGTATTGAGTCTTTGATTTGATTGTCAGCTTGATTGTTGCTGTATAGAAATACTACTGATTTGTGTACATTGATTTTTTAACCTGAGACTTTGCCAAATTCATTTATGAATTCCCGGAGTCTCTTGGCAGAATCTTTGGCGTATTCTAGATAAAAGATCATATCGTCAGCAAAGAGCGATAGTTTGACCTCTTTTTTCCCCATTTGGACACTCTTGGGTTCCTTCTCTTCTTACCTGATTGCTCTGGGTAGGACTTCCAGCATACGTTGAATAAAAGTGGTGACAGTGGGCATCCTTGTCTTGTTCTCGTTCCAAAACACCAGCTTGCAGGTAGCTCCGGAATTGTGCTCCTCTATTTCACCACAAGTCCGCAAGGGAAGAGGGGAGGGCTTTGCTCTCCATGAAGACCTCAGCCTGAACTGTACCCCCGCCATAGAGAAGCAGCTATTGATGAGCTTGGGTTGTTTGAGGAAACTTGTTGGGATAATTGTCATAGGAATTGCCTAAAATAGTATCAAAATTATGGAAGAGTACTCAGCTTTGAGCCTAGGAGCAAATGCCACTCTGTTCATCCATTTTAAAAGTGTTAAGAGATTACATTAAAGGTTCCCTGTTAAAACAGGTGACACTATTATCTCATCAATATGCTGCTTCGAGAACAAAGGTTTTCAACATAATAAGCACACTAGGCTGCAGGGAAAATGATATCACCCAAAACTTTCTTATTTATTGGTCTTTACAAATAATATTCTTTCTGCAGTCAAGTTTTTATCACAATTAATGAGTGTAAGAGGCAGAACTCTATATTTGCAGTGACCAGCCCCCAGGCTGAAGCTATGTAGGGGCTTCTGGCCACCATTTATCTCATTAACATACAAAAAGATACTGTCCAGAGATTTCAAGTGAGCTGTATGTCAGGAGGGAGTAGATGACCACATATGTTAATATTTCCCAGTATCACAATGTGGATCTGTCAGCCAATTCACTTCAATCCAATCTATTCTTAGAGTTCTCTCCTCATATTGTGTGAAGATTAGAACTCTCCTAATAGCCACTTGGTGAAATGTGTTTTTCATTTTAGGGACGGTTGACATTCAGGGATGTGGCCATAGAATTCTCTCTGGAGGAGTGGAAATGCCTGGACCCTGCTCAGAGGGCTTTATACAAGGCAGTGATGTTGGAGAACTACAGGAACCTGGTCTCCCTGGGTGAGGATAACTTGCTTTTAGAAGTCAGGATGTCCTCTTGTGTATCTTTGCATTTTCTCTTGTGAGTCTCTGGTTAGCCCCTGCATTGCTTGACTGAGATCAAAGCCCTGTTGATTCAGAAATGGAAAGCTTTATAATGGGGTATCTGGACTTTAACTGCCCCCTTTCTTCAGATGTTCTCCCCTTTCATGATATATCATTGGATGGTTCCAGAGCTTATGTATGTGTAAAACCTTGTGGCAGATGTTTAAAGTATCCAATTTCCTGTTTTTTACTGCGGTGCTTTGATTCATTGGTTCTTCAAAAACAACTAAATGTCTCCATGTTACAATATTCCCTGAGCATTCAGAAGGAGGCATTCATAGGATGGATTTCTGACATATATGTGTATATCCATCTGGAAAATGCTTTCTCCTTACCTAAACGTAGGGCTGGGATTCTCGAAAAGCCATGGTACCTTATATTCCTTTCTTTCTATAAGCAGGAATTTCTCCTTTTGACCTGAGTATTATCTCCACGTTGGAGCAAGGGAAAGAGCCCTGGACTGTGGAGAGCCAAGTGCAAATAGCAAGAAAATCCAATGGATGGAAATGGAACAAAGGTGTGATCACAGGTGAGTGCTCAGATAGATACAGAGAGAGCTGCTCACTAAATAGTGTTTGGGAAACTCTACGTAAATCTAAGGGTTCTACAGGAAAACAGAAGTTTATGTACTGTGAGCTCTGGAAGGACATTTTTCTTTTCCTTAACTTCTCACTCTGTTCCTCAGATATGTAACACTTCATCCTTGTACCCTCCAGTGATGCTTCCGCTCAAACAGAAACAAATGGAAAGTCCTTTTGTGGACAACACTGCGTTATCTGACTTCATGAACTCTTTTGTCGTTGACACTGAGCAGCACAGGAAAGGCTGTTTCAGAAGGGTTGCTTTCCCCCTTCATCTTTCCTTCTGCAGTTGATTCCATCTGATGCTAAGTTCTCAGTCCATGTTGATGAGAGCTGAGGCCGTCATAGTCCTGACGACTGGACCTCTCCATGTTCCATCCCACTTCATGTGCTTGGAAGGCCCAGTCAGGAGATGGGAAACATTGTCTGGTCTTCCTTCGCATCTGGATCTCCAGAAACTTCCTGGAGTTTTCTGAAGCCCTTTCTGCCTGGTGAGGTCCCTCAGCCATTTTTGCCACACTTCACGGGTGTATATGACAAAAGAGTGAGTTGGATCTTCTGAGGTTGTCACTCAGTAGGCAAAAAGTCAATAGAAACATCCTCTCTTTGATTTCCAGTCCTACGTGGGTGCAGATCCTATTCTTTCCGTCTCTTTGTGTGGGCTCTGTTGGCAGAATATGGAATCCAGTCTCAAGATGCCACAAAATCTGATGCTCATGCATTATATTTTTCTCTTTTCCGCTGCTGTTACTACTCAGTGAATGTAGGGAACCTCGGCTCTGCCTAATTTTGTACTCTCTTACTCTGTATGATTTTCTTTCTGAAACCGACTTTTAACATACACGTTCTTATAGAAATCAGAATCTGTCTGCCCTCATGTATCTTTGCAGTTTCTCTTGTGCGTCTCTTGTTAACCCTGCATTGCTTGACTGAGATGATAGCCTCAGGGCTGACTTGTTGGGATAATCCACTTTTAGGTTATGCATAACTTCTTGTGGAGTATCCCGTGGAGTGGGTTTACTGCATAACATAAAATTGATGAAGGAGAACACTTTAACTAATGTGATTGAATATCATCCTGCTACATACGAAGATGCGTTTTGAAGCCACTGAGTAGAGCTGGCTCATGGTCCTGAAATAAAAGGCATCAGGAGAGCCTGACTGATAAGTATTTCCTATTGTTTGTCTAGTTTTTGAGAAGCATCACAAAAGTGTCACTGTGACAATGCTGATCACATATAGTAATGATCACCTCCCTGGATCCAGCAGTTAATCTTGTAGGAATTGCCTCCAGGGAAAACATTGTTTAAGGCCACTGCCTCATGTGTAAACTGTTGTTCATGTCACATTTTCATCCCCTGTATGTGTCACTATTCATTTTCACCAACAAAAACTTTGTCATTTTGTCATTGGGTCATACCTGCAACAAGCATGGTTTTGATACATCTTCTTGAGGGAGCTTATGAAGGTAAATGATGTCTCCATATTTTAATTCTACCATAGTTTGTTTAAGCCAGTGCAGCTTCCGTCTTGTATAGTTTTATGTATTACAAATCTTTTTTTTTTTTTTTTTTTTTTTGAGACAGAGTCTCACTGTGTTGCTCGGGCTAGAGTGCCGTGGCGTCAGCCTAGCTCACAGCAATCTCAAACTCCTTGGCTCAAGCAATCCTTCTGCCTCAGCCTCCCGAGTAGCTGGGACTACAGGCATGTGCCACCATGCCCGGCTAATTTTTTTCTATATATTTTTAGTTGTCCGATTAATTTCTTTCTATTTTTAGTAGAGACGGGGTCTCGCTCTTGCTCAGGCTGGTCTCGAACTCCTGAGCTCAAACGATCCACCTGCCTCGGCCTCCCAGAGTGCTAGGATTATAGGCGTGAGCCACCGCGCCCGGCCTACAAATCAAGTTTTTAAAATTTTATTTAGTCAGCAGTTCATATATTCAAGCAATTTTGATCATAAAGAACAAAGAGTTATCATTGTACCTGATTTGAAACTATATTACAAAAGTATAGTAATTAAACCAGGATTATAGTAGCCTAAAAATAGACACATTGATTAGTGAAGCAGAATAAAGAAGAGAAATGAACCATACATATATGGTCAATGGATTTTTGCCAAAGGTGCCAAGAACACACAAGGGAAGAAGGACGGTCTCTCTGTGCATAATGCTGCAAAAATGATTCCACATGCAGAAGAATGAAAGTGGACCCTTATCTCACATCATATGCAATGGCTGTCCAGAAAGTATCCAGCCATGTAATATGAAAAGTAGTTTTAATACTAGCTGGATACTTTCTAGCAGCCCTTGTATAAATACAACTACTAGAAGAAATCACAGGGAAAAACCTACATGACATTGGTCTTAGCAATCATTTTTTTTAGCTTTGACCCTAAAAGCTCACGGAACAGAAGCAAATATAGACGAATGGGATTGCACCAAACAAAAGTGTTTCTTCACAGCAGAGGAAACAATTAAGAGAAACTTTGCATCGTGAGAATAGATTTGTAAGCTGTACATCAGGTAGGAAATTAATATCCAAAATGTGTAAGAAACTGAAACAACTTAATGGCATGAAAAGGAATAACCCAATTAAAAAATAGTCAGGGGATCTCAGTAGATATTTCTTGAAAGAAGACATGCATATGAACAATTGATACATTAAAAAGACTCAAGTAATCATTATGAAAATACAAATTTAAACCACAGTGAGATAACACTGCACACCTGTCGTAATGGCTATTGCTGAGACGTGTTTGTGAGGATATGGAGAAGAGGAAACCCTTGTATACTGTCGGTGAGAATGTAAATTAGTATAGGTATTATGGAAAACTATATGGAGTTTCCTCTAAAAACTAAAAATACAGTAATAACTGTATGATCCAACAATCTCACTTCTGGGTATAAATCCAAAGAATTTGGAATCCGTACGTCTAAGATACCTGCACTTCATGTTTACCGTGGCATTATTCACACAGCCAAGTTGTATAGTGAGACTAAGTGTCCATTAGCAGATGAATAGATACAGAAAATGTGCTGTACACTACAGAGTGGAATACTCCTCAGCCTTCAAAAGAAGGAAGTGTAGTTTCTCACATGTGGATGAACATGGAGGACATTTTGCTAACTTAAGGAACCAGGCACAGAAATAGAAGTATTGGATGTTTTCATTTATATGTGGAATGCAATTGGAGTAGAGTGTTGGTTATCAGAGGCTGGAGGATGAGGAATAGGTTGGTCAATGGGTACAAAGTTTCAATTCAACAGCAAGAGTAAATGATAAGTTTTGGTGGTGATGGATAGAGTTATAAGCTTGATTCCATCATTCCACATTACATAGTTATATCATGATATTACCTTGTTCCCTACAAATATAAACAATTATACTTTCTAGATATATAATAAAAATTTTAAAAACTGGTATTCCTGTTCTTATACTGTATACTGGTTGTAAAATGGATGTCATCCTTTTTTTCTTAAGAGAAAATTGTTCCTATTTCCACAGACTATGACTTTTTATAGATGTGCTTACTAATTCATTTATAATGGGTTACTAGGATGTTTTACTAATTTTTGTTGTGATTTATAGATGATACTTTCTAAGTATGTATTGTGCAACATAACTTGTTTTCCTTTCAATTGTGAGATAGCCATATGTTTTTTGTCAATTGGTGTATATCTTGGGGTCACTCCTTTCAGGGCTAATGTAGGTTTGCACATTGTGTTTTAGTTATAGGTGGTTTGAAACTAGACTTTCACAATATTAATTTGGACCACATGTAATCACCTTTTCTTTATTAAACAATACTATTCCTTTTGTGTTCCTAAAAATTGAATTTTATCTTTGTGAAGTTTGATAAGTATGTTTATGTCAGTATTCCTTTTGGTGTATTATTAAGTTTATCAAATTTAAATGTTTGTTTACATGATGTACTTAATTGGAAACTTGTGGTTCTTATATCTTGTAGATCTCTCTCCTGAATTTGCAATAAGAAATGTACCACCAAAAGGGAAGACCAATGCAGGAGAAGTATTCCAAACAGTGACATTGGAAAGACCTGAAAGCCATGACATTGAAGACTTGTCCTTTAGGGAAGTCCAGAAAAATATACATGACTTTGAGTGTCAATGGGGAGATGATGAAGGAAGTTGCAAAGCAGAGCTTATGACCCAGAAAGAAAATCTCACTGGTAGAAGAGATCAACATGATGGAAGGGAGGCAAGAAACAAGCTTATTAAAAGTCAGTGTGGAGTAATCTTTAAGTCACACGTGCCTCAACTGCAGCTACTTCAAAGTAAAAGGAGAGTTGACGAATGTAATCAAGTCAAGTCTGTCAGCCATGGTTCCTCAGTTTCACCACTTCAACAAATCCCTTCTAGTGGCAAAACCCACATTTCTGAAAAAGATGAGAATGATTTCATCTTTTCTTCATCACTCACACAAGGACAAAAAGTAAACAATGGTGGCAAAGCTTACAAATGTACTGAACGTGGCAAGGTGTTCACTGAAAATTTACATCTTGCATGTCATCAGGCAATCCATACTGGAGAGAAACCTTACAAATGTAATGAGTGTGGCAAGGTCTTCACTCGAAATGCATGCCTTGCACGTCACAGGAGATCGCATACTGGAGAAAAACCTTATAAATGTAATGAATGTGGCAAGGCCTTTGCTCGAAATGCAAACCTTGCACGTCACAGGAGAAGTCATACCGGAGAGAAACCTTACGAGTGTAATGAGTGCGGCAAAGCCTTTAGTGTACGTTCAAGACTAACTATCCATCAGGCAATCCATACTGGAGAGAAACCTTACAAATGTAATGAGTGTGGCAAGGTCTTCACTCAAAATGCATACCTTGTACGTCACAGGAGAACGCATACTGGAGAAAAACCTTACAAATGTAACGAGTGTGGCAAAGCCTTCGCTCGAACTTCACAGCTTGTATGTCACAGGAGAAAGCATACTGGAGAAAAACCTTACAAATGTTACGAATGTGGGAAGGTCTTCAAGCATAATGGCTCCCTTGCATGCCATCGAAGAATTCATACTGGTGAGAAACCTTTTAAGTGTTATGAGTGTGGCAAAGCCTTCAGGGTTCGTTCAGTCCTAACTACCCATCGGATAATCCATACTGGGGAACAACCTTACAAATGTAATGAGTGTGGCAAGGTCTTCCCTCGAAATGCATACCTTGCACGTCACAGGAGAACGCATACTGGAGAAAAACCTTACAAATGTAATGAGTGTGGCAAGGCCTTCGCTCAACATTCAGACCTGGGACATCACAGGAGAATTCATACTGGAGAGAAACCTTACCAGTGTAACGAGTGCGGCAAAGGCTTTAGTGTACGTTCAGGACTAACGATCCATCAGGCAATCCATACTGGAGAGAAACCTTACAAATGTCACGAGTGTGGCAAGTCCTTCACTCGAAATGCATACCTTACACGTCACAGGAGAAGACACAATGGAGAAAATCCTTACAAATGTACTGAGTGTGGCAAGGCCTTCACTCAAAATTGGCACCTTGTTAGGCATCAAAGTAGTCACAGTGGAGAGAAACCTTACAAATGTTATGAGTGTGGCAAAGCCTTTAGTTTTCATTCATTGTTAACTACCCATCAGATGATCCATACCGGAGAGAAACCTTACAAATGTAATGAATGTGGCAAATGCTTCACTCGAAATGTATACCTTGCACGTCACAGGAGAAGGCATACTGGAGAAAAACCTTACAGATGTAATGAGTGTGGCAAGGCCTTCACTCAAAATTGGCACCTTGTTAGGCATCAAAGTATTCACAGTAGAGAGAAACCGTACAAGTGTTATGAGTGTGGCAAAGCCTTTCGTCTTCAATCAATCCTAACTAGGCATCAGATGATCCACACTGGAGAGAAACCTTACAGATGCAATCAGTGTGGCAAGGCCTTCACTCAGTATTCACAGCTTGCATGTCACAGGAGAAGGCATACTGGAGAGAAACCTTATAAATGTTACGAATGTGGGAAGGTCTTCAGGCATAATGGCTCCCTTGCATACCATCGAAGAATTCATACTGGTGAGAAACCGTACAGATGTAATGACTGTGGCAAGCTCTTCAGTGAACGATCAAAGCTTGCAAGGCATCACATAATTCATACTTGATAGAAACCATACAAATGAGTGTGGCAAGGTCTTCAGTCACAATTCACTCCTTGAATGACATTAGAGAATTCATTCTCAAGAGAATCCTTACAAATGCAGACTATGGCAAACCCCTCATGAGTTCAACCGTTAACATTGGAGAGCCCATGCTAAAGGAATATCATATAATTTTATGTGGAAGAGGCTTTCTTCATGCCTCACAACCCACTGGGCATCAAAATACACATCTTTGATGAAAGCACACAAATGTAAAGTGTATGTTGAGGCTATTACCCAGGGGCCAAAAATGTAGGTGAGGATTTGTATGAGGAATGAGTCAATCTCTAATTCTCCATGATTAACCTTTGATATTACATACTGTAAAATAATTCTAAGTCTGAATATGTTAAAACTTACGTCATGATATATATCAGAGGTGCCAGGACATTTGGAGATGGCCAGTTACCCTCAACTTAAAAATATTTTATACATTTATTTGAGGACTCTTGAAAAGGCTACTTTACTATTCATAACTTTCAACTCGAACTTTGAAATCTTACTATTATGCCTTTTTCAAAAGCCTTTCTTTGCAGTCTGTGGGAAAGAATCCATTGCATGGCAGGTCCTGCTTTAAGGATGAAGATTGTTTCCATCCATGTTGCTCGAAGAAGAAGGATTCTGCCTTTGAATATTAAACACTGTCTCAATTAGCATTTGGGAGGGGCAGAGAATAACATAAAAGTATGATGTCACTCATCTTGCTCATTGTGTTCAAAGTTCTTTTCTCCTGACAGGAGGGCACGATAGGTTAAGGGAGACAAAGCTCAATCAAGTGACCATAATGTAGAGCAGATCAACAAATTGGCTACTCAGGTGGCCGACTTACAACAAGTGGTCACCTTACTGGGTGACCAGGTTGTAAGCCTACAAAAGCAAATTAGACTCTGTTGTGATTGCAATATCACTCAATTTTGTGTTACACTTCATATATATAATCAGACTCAGTTTCCTTGGGAAAACATTAAGGAACATCTACTTAAGGAAATCTGACTGAAGAGATAGGAAATTTACAACAGAAAATATTAAGTACCTTTGGTCACAAACTTGATCTACTCTCTAAGGCTGACATTATTGACTGTATTTCATCTGGAATGGAGTCAGCTAACCAACTTTCTCATGTTAAGATCTATGGGAGTTCTGCTATAGTAACTTTTGGAATTATTTTAATCATTTGCTTGTAGTTAATTATAGTCTGGGAAAAACTCCGAAGAAGACAAGACTCCGGAGACCAGTGCCTCGCAGTGATGGCTATCCAGCTTCATCAACTTCTAAAAAGGGGAGATGTTGGGAAATGAGGTTAAGAGACATGGAAAGTTTCAGGAGTTTTGCAGGATTTTTGTCTTGAAAGAATCTGTGGGCGTGTTAGCTCATAGACCAGAAGCTGCTCAGCAACAAGGGAGACGTTCCTCTGATCAGGGGTGACTGCAGGATGTCGCCCATCTCAAGGCCTGCAAGCCAACGCCTGGAACTTATGCAAGACAGAGCTTGGCATGGGGCCAAAACTAAGAGACTGATCAAAGGATGTCCACCCAGCAGACGCCTGCAGCAAAAACCAGTTAACCTCAAGGACAGTACTTGTTTCACTCCTGACCACATGTCTTGTTACATAGAGAAATAGATTAGAGAGGTATGCAGGCTCAGTGTTCCTGTTTTATGTGTTACAGCTTAATTAATGAGGTTATCTTTAACTTGTATGCTCTGCTAGGTCTGTTCCTTAATTAGGACTTAAAATGTTTATCTTGAAAAAATTTTGTGACTGCTCTCGTAGGTAGAATTAGGTAAGGGATCTCTTGAAGCCTTTGGGGAGCCTTGAAACATAAACGAATGATCTGTACACATAAATCTGTAACCAGTGACAGCTAATTGCTGTACCAATAAATACTGATGCGGGACTGCAGTCTGTGACTCCTGGCTCACGGGAATGCAGGAGGACCCCTGACTTCCCTATCACTTTAAACTGCACTTTGTTTCTATTATTTCCAAATCTCTTCTGAGGATCATGCCTGGGACCCATTTTGTTGGCAGAGTCATGAACTCCCAGCACCTCTCCTGAGATTAGAGCCACCCACAGTATCCTTATTGTGGTTAGTAGTTTTGTCTCTTTTTATACCCTGTCATCATTTACTTTTATTTTTATTTTTTTGATAAGACTACTCAGTAGCTGGTAAAGACATCTGCCTTAATCAGTGCATGTTTCCCAACTGTCAGTCTCTTTATTCTTTCAAATAGTAACCCTTGTGTATGCAAGCTATTCTTCATGTGCACTGGAAGAAATGTACAATTTTCTCATCTAATCAGAAAAATGTAAATTGTGTATTTTTCACTGTGTTCACAGATTGATGTACTCATGCTTCCCAGATTCTTAAGCACATTTGTCAGCCAGTCTCACTGCACATAGAGTTCTGAGTTACACAGAGACTTTGCTCTAATATTAAATAAAAAATAGCCACAGTAACTGAAATCTTATGTAATTTGTACAAGTACTCTTATAATTGTATTTAATAAGAGTCATTGTGGAGAAAATCAGAGTCCACTAAGTGATTCCTGAAATAATGTAAAGACACTGAAAATGTCTTTTAGTTTGTATGTTTTAATATAATACATTAAACTTTCCTATGATTTAACTGTACCCAGCGTCTTAAGGACAGTTCAATAAAAATGGCATAGCGTTTCATATGGCCCTTCAAAAAACTGAGGTGGAATATATGCTTGCCTGGAGGTGAAGCTAGAAGGAAAACTTTCATTTATTACAAACATTTGAGGCCATGTTGTTAATGTGGAATATACCTTACATCCTAGGACAAATATGATAATTTGAGATATGATAATGCTTATGGAGAAAGATTAGCATATTAAAATATTTTCAGTTAAACACTGAAATGAGGAGACAAAGGAAAACACAAAAGCGTGTCAGTTGATATTTAAAAAGAATGCAGTAGGAATCCAGCATTAAATAGACATTTCTGAGATCAAATTGAATGGATTTTGGTGATGTTTAGAAAGTAGGTTCTCATTAAACCTTGATGCCAATAGGCTCTGTTGAAAACAAAACAAAAACAGGTTTTAGGATTTTCTCTTGCATTTCCAATTTTAAGATGCAATATTTATGGAAGAATCTATTATCAATCTTAGATCCATATAGTAGTAGCAATTTGCAGGCCAAAGACATGAATTTGTTGTTTATTGAGGAGTTTCATCGCTTTTGAAATCACCAAAGGAGCCAGATGGACACGTTCAAAGAAAAAAATTCATGTTAACTCAAACATAGTAAATAATTTCAGGTAACACTATGTAATTATAAATAGTTGCAATTCTTAAGGTCAGTTTTTGGAATAAATTTATGCCTACAGAAATGTGGCAAAGATAGAACAAAGTCCTCATACTTGCAATATCATAGTTTCTGTTGATGTTAACATGTTACATTACTGTGGTGTATTTTACAAAACTAAGAAACCAACATTGGCATATGTTACTATGAGCTAAATTTGCATTTTGCCAGTTTTAACACAAATGCCTTTTTTCTCTTCCAGGATCCAATCCAAAATACCACATTATATTTAGTCATCATATCTCCCTATTTGCCTCTGTTAAAGTTTCTCAGCCTTTTCTAGTTTTTCATGACTTTGGAAGGTTTGAGGAGAACTGGTCCATACTTTTTAGACTATCTCTGAAGTTGGGGCTGTCTGATGTTTTTCTCATGGTTAGACTGGTTTTATAGGTTTTTAGAATATCTCATCTCATCATGGCATGGCACATTAGGGATTATATACAATTAACATAGTTTGTTACTGGTGATGTTCAACTTGATCATTTGGTTGAGGTGGTGTTTTTCAGGTCTCCATTATAAAGTTATGATGTGTCCATTTTCATCCTCCTTTGTTTGGATGGAAACGCGAAGTCCAGCCCACACACAAAGGATTTGGGGTAGCAGAATTAATCTCTACCTACTGGAAAGAGGAGTATACATGTGCTATTTGGCATTCTTCTATCTGAAAGATTTGTCTCTTCTCCCTCATGTATTTACTCAACTATTTAATCATATCCATATAAAATCATGTCAGTTGATTTTATATTGTGTATTGTAATAAAAACCATGATATGTATATTTTTGCTCAAATGGTTACAGCTTTGGCCATTTGGAGCTCTCTCAGATTCACTCTTCTGTCCCTTTGATAGTCTCCAATTTAAAAAAATCTTTGCTGCTTTCTGCTAGTGCAACATGCTCCAAGCTCATATGGCATTTTTTCTAGCCTAAACCTAGAATCAGACAGTTCTCCAAGAAGCCTTTTATTAGATAATTGTATTAGGAACCAAGATATAGGTGCTGAGTGCTCATTGCTACTGGATGTCACTAGTGTTAGTCAAGAAAATGCACATTTGTATATACGTCTATAATAGCTATCCAACTATCTAGATATGACTTTATACTTGTGTCTAACCCTAATCCAGTAGTACCACAGGGTTCTTTCCCCTTGCTTATCTGTATTTGTTAAGTGTTATGGCACTCGAGGCATCTGCATTTTCAAAATAGCCATACTTCATATTTCTCACAGAGTTTATGAAAAATTATTAGCCGTAGAAGTTTTAAATTCTTAGATGTATGTGTAACATGCTGGACAAGGATAATACAGAGATACATTTGGAAAGCTAATTAATTTTCCTCTGTCCTTTTAAATCCATTTTGTGGGATACAAATTGCCAGAGGGCATTGTGAAATCCATGATTTATTAGGCACTAAGTAAGGTTTTAATATGCACACTATGTGTTTGCATTAACCTCAACCCTCAAGCTGAGTCCTGCTGCTGGGCAAGTACCAATGTAACAATGCCATCCTTCTCATTAATTCAGAGTTTCTCTATGTGCCATGGTCATTCTCAAGAGTGTAAATAGGGAAGGGATGCTGAAAGTTAATATATTGACTATTTGAGTATCATCACTGTTCTCTAATCTTGGTGGATGTTTCAAGATGCAAAAAATTGATGAGACATTTTTGGGGTTTTGTGATATATCATTCGTCCTCAAATGTTTTGTTTCCTACAGTCTAAAGAGTTCTGCAAGACTATTACATTGTTTCATATGGAATATAAAATTTTAGTCTAAAGATTAAATGATTACAAAGGATGCAAGTTTCAGGATATCTCAAATATTTAGACATAAGAATAAACATTTTTCATCACCAATAAAAGACAGGTGTAGAATTTTTATAGCATTGTAGTATAATTGCCAAAGCTGGAAAAGACTGGAATGTCTGATGTCGTGGCCCATTTCTAGGGGCCGAGGAATGAACACAGAGACAAAGAGACACAGACACACACAAAGACGGTACAGGACTGCAGCAAAATTCTTGCTGTAGCTTCTTTATTTATAACACAGCCTGTTTGGCAACTGTCCCACTGCAATTTCTTTGTTCCCACACTGTCCCGACTCAACACGTCCCTGTTCCTTGTTTCGTCTCCGGCGAGCTGATGTTTTCATCCTAAACTCTCTAGCCCTTACTGTTTTCAGATAAGGGCGCCCTGCACTTGGGTTCAAGCCCCCAGGCATATTCTGAGAAAAACAACAAGAAACCATTCCCAGACAAAGTGTCCTCTACAGTCTGACAACTAATGGATGAAAAATTGTGGCACAACCATATAATAGAATCATACTCAGTGATAGCAGTGAGCTAATGCTACATGTAACACCATGGTAGAGTATCAAAGGCATTAAGCTGAGGAAGAAAAACTAGTGTCAAAATGTTATATATTGTGTGATTGCATTCATATGATATTCCAAAAAAACTGAAAATATAGTGACAGAAATCAGATCAGAAGGGTCCATGGTATGAGCTGGGGGAGGATAGGGACTTTAAACAAGCAGGAGGGAAATGTTTACGTTGATGGAAAAATCTCTGTTCTACACCTCGGTGATGGTTACACAATTGTAAACATTTGTCAAAACTCAGAGCCGTACATCTAAAAGGCTTGAATTTTACTTCCCGTAAATGATGCCTTTGTAGACTACATTTAAATGATGCCTATTATATAATTATATATTCATAATAAAAGTTCTTTAAGAAAGTTTTTACAGCTAGTTCATGAAGTTAAACATACCCTTATTTATAGTATACATACCTCGTACTTGTAGCTTTCTGAATATAGTTTAGAATATACTTCGTGTGCTTCACTCCGAAGGAATGTTGAGTCAACACAGAGATTGGCTCTGTAGATGCAGCTCCCACCCTCGGGGCTGGAGGGAGAGTAGGGGAGGATGGAGTGTTTGGAAAACTGCAGCCAGGGCCCTCACCAGGAGCAAGGACACAGCATACGACTGAGAGAGGAGCTCAGTCTGCTAGTGCCTGGAGAGTCTGAGATGTACCTGTCCCCGTGTTTATTCACAGGTGAACAACGTGTCTGAGAGATCACAGGCAAATGATGGGCAGAACGTCTAGGAGAGAGAAACTGCTGTCAGTTAAACCCTACAGGTGGGCAGGTTAGACAAGATCTAAGACCAATGGGAGCTCTCCAGCGTGGGCAATCTTCGTCTATGGGAAATAGTTGTACTTCTCTGTCCCTAGAAAATTCCAGGACAGCAGTAACTCTACTCTTTCAGTCAGGGGCTGAGTCAGACAGCCTCTTGCCCTACAGATTTCCCAGGGGAATAAAACACCTCCATTGTATCTCCCCCAAATGCAAGGGACACATATTCAATTCTTTCCTGTCTCATTTAAGTGTCCCCTTTATGATTTGAAGGGAAAACGACACAGAGCCTTCCCTATGTTAAGGTTGGTGGTCACAGCACTCCAGGTGTTCTTTTGCGGAAACTCTCTAACTCGTCTTCTGTTCTCCACAGGCTTTTGTATGTATTGGGTGTGGTGAAATTTATTAGTCTTATAGGTGGTTTGTGACCATCTTCTTAAGAGTTCAGTCCATGTCTCAGACCCTCGGCTGAATCTGTGGGTAAAATGTACCTATAGGTGCATCATCTCTGAATTTGGATAAAATAAGGAACACACCTTCTAATAACTAAAAAGTAATCTGCCTTATGAGTAAGCAAATATGCTCAGTTTTCAATTTAAATTTGCCAAGTTTAATTCCAGGAGGTGGCATTGGGGTGGGGGTGGTCTCTGCATAAAAGCTGCTTCTCTCTAATATTGGTGGATCTGAGGTATCTCTGCACGGTCTGTCCCTAGGTGCTCCTGGCTGTCTGTGCTTCCTCTACTTCCATGGTCCGATTCGCAACCAGTCTCTGGGAGGAGCTGCCCAAGCTGAACTCTTTTCTACAATAAAACTCTCTTTGGCTCTGTCTTTCTCGGGCAGCCTCATTCTTCTGTCAGGATAAATTTTCTTGAGTTTTCTGAGCATTTTTCACAGGGTTATAAAGACAAGAAGGGAGGGGTGGGAGCTCACCAGAGACCCCCAGCAGGGCAGGGCTCTCAGGCACCAGGAAGGCAGGTGGGATGGAGTAGGCACCTAGGAGGTGCAGAAAAACATGTGTAGGAGGGAGCAGCCACTTAAGTCAAAATCAGTTTCTTTTTCAATATGACCATGATTTCATATGCTTAATTATTTCACTTTATTTTATATCCTTTGCATTTTACTTTTTAAATTTTGTTCAACCCTCTCGTATTTGTTTTAATTCAGTTTTCTTTTGTGGACTTTTTGAAGTATATATGTACTTTCCTTTCATTCAATATTCTATATTGAGTTTTTCAGATATCTCATAATTCTGACATCTACACTGTCTTCAACAATGCAGGCGAATTGATCATTTCAGTCCTATGGGGAATAGAGATCATAGACACACAAACGTTTATGTCCATCCTTCTACCTTCTTCCCACACAAACAATTGCTGATGGGTCTGCCGTCTTGAGGTTGCCATCCTGGTAGTGGGAAAGAGGTGAATATTTTCTTTTTCAGTCTCAAAAACAGAGTCTGTAAGGGAAGCAGATGCAACAGGATTCATGGTAAGTGGTCTTGTCTGGAAATTGCATTCTTCTGGGATAAAAACTTATGTATTGCCAAAGACATTCAGAAAGGAGGAATAATTTCCAAGGCATGGAGAGAGAGACTTAAGGACCAAGACCGCATAGTAAACCCTAACGGTTCCTAATATATTTTAACGTAACCCTCATTGATGGGCTTGCTGGAGTTAGCTTCAAGCAGCAATGATACCTAAGTCTTATGATGGATAGGACTCTAATTTCAAAATTAATCTTGAGTTTTAATGTGTCATAGAGAATTCATACAGAAATTTTTTTAATATAGTTCGTGTATAAAATTCCATGCATGTTAATGAATACGATGGAGCTAAGTGAATCATCAAATCCTCTGCATGAAATATTTGAATGAATAGTAGTTGATGAAATGAAATTATTTCTACAACGTTGGTGTAATGTGCTTAGTTGAGTCAGTAATTATATTTCTACTGAAATTGTAAAGAGTAAGTAAAACTATGTGTAGCCTTTGATATTGGTTAGCATTTATCCCTCTTGAATTTAGAGAAAGAAATTTTAAGGAAAATTAACTTCACACTGAAAGTTGAAGATGGCAGAAAAACATTGAGGACTTCTGCATTTATTGGGACAAATATACCATGCAATATTTTCTTTGCGTAAAAATATGCTCTAATGTCATTTCCATCTCTCTTCCACTTTAAATTATTAAATGCACATGATTCCATGGCCCTAATTTCCAGTTTGGATACCATTGTTCTACTTTAATACTTTTTCTGGATTCTACATTAAATAGAATTTCAAGCATCTTTTTCTAAAATAATGAACAGAAAATCATATGCTCCCTAATAAGAATTAATTTAGTATCTACCCAAACTATTTTATCATTTAATTATATTTAATATCCCATAGCTTAGGACACATCCCAATATTGAACAACTTATGTGATGGGTACAACTGGCAGGAAATGAAATAAGTATTCTCTTGATACTTTAATGTTGATCTATCCTGAACAGAAACAATGTGCTCATGGTAAATTACTCAGTGTATCTACATTTTATTAAGATTTTTGAATCTTCATTGATCAGTGATATTGGTCTGTAGAATAAAACTTAGACAATGGATAATTATCATGATCAACCTTACCGAATTCAAATGTATATAAAGTATGACAAGGGACATGTATATTTGGATTATTCAAAGAACACAGGGAGCTAAGACAATATCACACAATGGTAACACCAATGCCATTGCAACCAGGCCCGCTTTGGTTCAAAGCCAGGCTCTAGAAATACATAAATGAGTCATTAACATCCCCGTGGCTAAATTCTCCTAGAGTGTAAAAGGAAAATAATAGTAGAATAATAGTCGTGCTTAAATCCTATTGCTGTAAATATTAAATTAGTTAAAATGTATAAAACATTAATAGCAGTCCATGCATAGTAAATGCTAAAGAAAGAAATGCTTTAAATGTGGGAATATCTTAACAAAAGGAAATATGTTTTAGAAAGAAATTCTTAGGAAAAAGGAATGATAAATAGAGAATTTTGCATTTAATTCTCAAGAAAAAAATATCTACAACTTGTATTTTCATGCAGAATCTTCTATTTAAGAATGCGAATGTTGAGCCTAGTAAGTAGCAGAATGGCCTCCATGGATCTGAAAATTGGAATAATCTTCCTTTTCCACCTTACAGTTGGAACCTGGGGAGTTTCTCACTCTTATGTCACATACCTTTACTTCAGTGGATGCGGGTCGAGGTCTACAGATTTGATTCTCAGGCACCTGACAGTGGCCAACTCCTTGGTCATTCTCTCCAAAGGAATCCCAGAGACCATGGTAGCTTTGGGGTTGGAATATGTCCTCAGTGATTTTGGATGCAAACTTGTTTTCTGTGCTCACAGGGTGGGCAGGGGTGTGTCCTTTGGCAGCACCTGCCTCTTGAGCGTCTTCCAGGCCATCACAATTAGCCCCAGGAGCTCTAAGTGGTCAGAGTTTAAGGTAAAAGCTACCAAATACATGGGAACCTCCACGATCCTCTGCTGGATTCTGCACTTGCTGGTAAATATCATTTTTCCTGTGAAGGTGACTGGCAAATGGAAAAACACAAACATCACAAAGAAAATGGATTTTGCATACTGTTCTGCTCCAGCTGGTGAAAAAGTCTTATCTTCACCACTAATTGCAGCAATGATATCCATCCCTGATGTTTTGTGTTTGGGCCTCATGGTCTGGGCCAGCGGCTCCATGGTTTTCATCCTGCACCGGCACAAGCAGCAGGTGCGACACATTCACAGGAACGATCTCGCCCCCAGGTCCTCCCCTGAGACCAGAGCTGCCCACAGCATCCTTGCCTTGGTGAGCACCTTTGTGTGTTTTTACATCCTCTCCTGCATCATCCAAGTGGGTTTGTCTGTTTTTCATAATCCTGGCAGGTTGCTGATTACTGTCTCTTCCTTGATTAATGCATTTTTCCCCACTGTCTGCCCTTTTGTGCTCATGAGTCGTGGACCCAGTGTATGTCTGTTGTGGAAGGAACACACAGTCACCCATCAGAACAAACGCGCCTTGTCTGTTTTACTCTGTATTAAGTCATTGATGAATTTGACCCCAATAATATTTCCCCAAAATGCAGAGGATGCATGCTCAACTCTCTCCACTGCTCTTTAAAGTCAACTTTTCCTGATTCAATCATAAAAAAACTCCTGTCCATCCTCTCTCCTTCCCCAGCACCTCATATATTCTTATTCGGAAACTCCCGAAACCATCCTCTGGTCTTCAGTTATCACAGTCCTGTGTCTGGGTGTCACCATCTCAGACCCCAGCTAAAGCTGTTGGTGAAATGCATCATTTCTGAATTTGGACAAATAATGAAAATTCCTTCTAATGACAAAAACACAGTAACCTTAAACGTGAGCAAAACAAAACTACTAAATTTTAACTTTAAAACTTTGGAAAGTTGAGTTCCAAGATGTGGCAGTGGGATGAGTTGCTTCGCCGACGCCTTTCTTCCTAATTTGGTGCATCTGAGGTCTCTTTGCAGATTGTTTTCGTATGCCATTTGCCGACTGCTTCTTCTACCTCAGTGGTACATTCTGCCAACCACTGTCTTTGGGAAATGCTGCTCAAGCTGACCCAATTTCACAAAAGCACCATCCCTTGCTCTGTGTGTCTGGGCAGCCTCATTTCTTTCCGAGGCGGATGTTCTCTGACATTCCTTACATTCTCCCTTGGGGTGTGCTGAGAAGGAATGGGTGTGTTTCACAGGGACCCTCAATAGAACGGGTCACACAGGCTGCATAAAGGAGGCAGGTGGGATGGACCAGGCACATAGGAGGTGGCAAGGAACAGGTATAAAGGGAAAAATAAACCCAGTCGTGTCAAATTTGATTTCTCTCTTTATTGTTCTTCAAGTAGGTTTCACATTTATAATTATGTCTCTTCTTCTTGCATTATTTATGTTTCAATTATTCAGTTTGCTGTCACCTTTTGTTGTTTTACTTTTCTTTTGTTAAATTATTAAAGTGTAGTTTTAGTTTCCTTTAATTTAATGCATTTATAGAATGGGAATATAAATATACTATTCATTATACAAAATACACTGCATTATCTGGCATGATAGATTTTGTTATAAAGTATCTTATGAATGTTAGTAAAATCATTTGTGTTAAGTGCGTATATATAAAATTGAGAATATATAATAAATACATTTATATTTGTTCTATGAAATTTGTCATTATTCATATTAACTTGTGCCTCTACATTTCTGTAATTTTTATTATTTGTATTTAATTATCATGGGTACATAATAGTTGTACATCTTTATAGGGTACATGTGATGTTTTCATACAGGCATACAGTGTAAGTTAATCAAATCAGGGTAATTCAGGTATCCATCACCTCTGGCATTTACCACTTGTTTGTGTTAGGAACATTCCAATTCCACTCTTTTAGTTATTTTAAAGTATACCCTAACTTATTGTTGATTATGGTCACTTTGTTGTGCCATGCAAATATTGTTCATTCTATCTACCTAACCATATTTTTGCACCATTAACCACACCCACTTTATCACCCCCTCCGCACTACCCTTCCCAGCCTCTGATAACCATCCTACTCTCTGTCAGGGAAGCCATCAGGTCCTGGACTTTTCTTTGACGGGAGATTTTTATTAGTGTTTCTATCTTCTTGCTTGTTATTGGTTTATTTAGGTTTGGATTTCTTCATGGCTCAATTTTGGTAGGTTGTATGTATCTAGGAATTTATCCATTTCTCCCGAGTCTTCCAATCTATTGGCATAGAGTGGCTCCCAGCAGTCTGGAATGATCCCTTCGACATCTGCAGAATCAGTTGTAATGTATCTTTTTTCATCTCTGATTTTATTTATTTGGATCTTCTCTTTTTTTTTTTCTTAGTCTGGCTAAAGATGTGTCAATTTTATTTATCTTTTCAAAAGACTAATTTTTCATTTTGTTGATCTTTTATATTTTTTTCATTTCAATTTCATTTATTTCTGCCCGAGCTTTATTATTTCTTCTACTAATTTTGGACTTGATTTGCTCTTCTTTTTTTTCTAGATCTTTCAGATGCATCGTAAGATTGTTTATTTGAAACTTTTCTATGTGGACACTTATTGCTATAAACTTTCCTTTTATTATTGCTTTTATTGTATCCCACAGGTTTTTGGCATATTGTGTTTTCATTTTTATTTGTCTCAAGAAATTTTAAAATTTTCTTCTTTATCTTTTCATCAACCCACTGGTCATTCAGGAGCATGTTGTTTAATTTCCACATGTTTGTATATTATTTTCCAATGTTCCTGTCATTATTATTATTTTTTAAATTTCAGCATATTATAGGGGTACAAATGTTTAGGATTCGTATGTTGCCTTTTCCCCACCCAAGTCAGAGCTTCAAGTGTGTCCATTCCCCAGACGGTGAGCACCGCATCCATTAGGTGTGTATATACCTATCCCCTTCTCCCCCCTCCCATCCGCCCGACACCCGATGAATGTTACTACCATATATGCAAATTGGTATTAACTGATCAACACTTAAGTGTTCCTCTCATTATTGATTTCTAGGTTTATTCCATTGTGGTCAGAGAAAATATGTGGTATGAAGGTGCAACACCTTAAGAATTCTGGAAGAAAATGTTGGGAAGACTCTTTTAGACATCGGCCTGGGTAAAGAATTTAGGAAGAAGACCCCCAAAGAAATCACAACAGTAACAAAAATAAACAAATGGGACCAGCCAAGGAAATTATCATCAGAGCCAATAGACAACCTACAGAATGGGAGAAAATATTTGCATGTTATGCATATGATTAAGGGCCGATAACAAGAATCTATATAGAACTCAAGAAAATCAACAAGCAAAAAAATCAAGCAACCCCATCAATAAATGGGCAAAGGGCATGAACAGAAACTTTTCAAAAGAACACAGACTAATGGCCAGCAAACATATAAAACAGTGCTCAACATCTCTAATCATTAGGGAAATGCTAATCAAAACTACAATGAGATATCACCTAATTCCAGTGAGAATGGCCTCTATCAAAAAGTCCCAAAATAACAAATGCTGGCGTAGATTTGGAGAGATTGGAACACTCTTACACTGCTGGTGGGACTGCAAATTAGTACAACCCCTGTGGAAAGTAATTTGGAGATACCTCAAAGAAAAAAATGGAAATACCATTCGATCCAGCAATCCCACTACTAGGCATCTATCCAAAGGAAAAAAAGACATTCTATAATAAAGACATCTGCACTTGAATGTTTATAGCAGCACAATTTACAATTACAAAGATGTGGAAACAATCCAAATGCCCATCAATACTGAGTGGATTAATAAAATGTGGTCTATGTATACCATGGAATACTACTCAACTACAAAAAACAATGGTGATCTAGCACCTCTTATATTATCCTGGATAGAGATTTGAGCCCATCCTTCAAAGTGAAGTATCACAAGGATGGAAAAACATGCACCACATGTACTCGCCATCAAACTGGTACTAATTGGTCAACACTAAGGTGCTCACATGGTAGTAATACTCACCGGGTGCCAGTCAGGTGGGGGGGTTCAGGGGTTGGGATTGGAGGTAAACCCATAGCTAATGGAAACGGGGCACACTCTATGGGGGAAGGACACTCTTGTAGCCCTGGCTTGGGTGAGGCAAATGCATTTCATGTAACCAAAATGTTTGTACCCCCATAATATCCTGAATTAAAAAAAATAAATAAAAACAAACAAAAAAGGAAATATGTGGTATAATTTTAATTTTCTTTGAATCTCTTAAGACTTGTTTTGTGGCCTAACATATGGTCTATCCTTGAGAATGATCCATGAGCTAAACTGAAGTACGTGTATTCTGCGGCTGTTGGACGAAACATTCTGTAAATATCTATTAGGTGCATCTGGTCTGTAGTGCAGATTAAGTCCAATGTTTCTTTGTTGGTTTTCAGTCTAGATGATCCATCCAATACTGCAAATGGAGTGTTGATGTCTCCAGCGATTATTGTATTGTGTCTACCTCTCTTTTTAGCTCTGATAATACTTGCTTTATTTATCGGGTTGTTTCAGTGTCGGGTACATATGTATTTAGAATTGTTATATACTCTTGCTGAATTGACCCCTTTAATCACTATATTATGACCTTCTTTTTCTCTTTTTATGTATTTTAAGCATGACAGAGCTCGGCAGTCATTGGTTTTTTTCTGTAAGGGTCAGTGTTGGATAAAGTAGGAGGATTATTAGTTGGGTTTGGAGGCTGAACTTACTTTGGACAAGTGGGTCAACTTTCTCAAGTCTCAGATGGCTTTGGGATGGCACCTGTCCTGCACAACTCAGTGGGGTATGGCGAGGCTCACAGAGGATCTTCCTGTGAAATCACTTGATAACCATAAAGCAATATACGGGCGTGAGCCTTCCTAGTGTGGTCTTAGGCCATGTATCCTTGTATCCCAGTTCAGGGGATTTGCACAGTCTAATTTTACAACAGTGTATATCTAAAAGCCATTCTTCTCAAATTCCCATGACATCCCTCTGCTTCTAACTTCACCCTACATAAGCTGACCCCCTAGTTTCCCAACTTTGGAGGTTTGCCTGAAACCAAGGTGAGGTGATATGGCACCTTTCTCTTAGGTGAAGTTCATTAATCTCATCCCCTCCTTTCCTGTGTCCCTTTTCTGAACAGGGCTGATGCAATTCTAGGGCCACAGCACAACCCGAGATTGACATGGCAGAGAGAATCCATAGAGAATGAACTGTGAGCCAAAGCCTTAGTGTTTAGGATACAGAGACTTGGAAAGTGGAGGATAAACATGTGAGGCACTCCTCCGGTGTGAGATAAATGGGTCACCCTTCAGGAGAACTGAAGGTGGGGCCTGCAGTGGCTGTG